TTAATTTAATTTCTGGTTAAGTTACTGCACTTGATTTGTATATGTATTTGTGTATGCATCAACATGTATTAAAGACTGGATATCAGTATTATTGCATAGAGCAAACTCTGTGTAGAATCATTCTAGTGGCATTATTATGCAACACATTAAAATGGAATTCACCAATCTGCCATCCAGTAGGTAAATTGGTTGCGCTGCCTATGAAACAAATAAGTTTTAATTCCAAACATAGCAGAAAGACTCCAGGAAAGCTGTTTTAAGCATGTTGAAATGCATAGGTGTACAGTTACCTTAAACAATGTACTAGGTTCTTCATTAAGATTCACTCTGGTTATTACACGTCCAGATTCTTCTTCAACATCAAAGATACTTGCACTATATGGGAATTGGACAACATCTACTTTATATCGTACGTGACTTGCTGGTGTACCCTATGAAAAAAGTGTATATTTTAAATTAGCATAGCTTAGACAGTAAGAATGAAAAAATCAAATATAACCTCACATTTCATTCTGGGTCATTGCTTCTAAAATAAGACATACTGTTATTGTGTTTTAAATATACTAGGCATCCACTTCTGTAAAAACATTTAAAATTGATTTATGTATTTGTAAAATTTATTGGCTGCCCATCTTGCCCTCAAGGTAACTCTTTAATATTGTAAAGATGCACAATATACTTTTTTATTACAAAGAAATATTTTTCAACACACACACACACACACACACACACACACACACACACACATTCTAACCAAAAACTTTTCTTAAGACCAATTTCGGATTCTGCAGGTATGAACACAAGCTGTTTCCCCACCTCCCATTTATTAGAAATTACATCATAAATGTTATTAAATTTCATTGGGGCAAATGCTATATATGTATATTATGTGTGTCTGTAAATACACATAGATATAATTTCAATTTATATGGGTACCCCTCTCAGAAACATAATTTGAGGTACTTTACAACAACTGCAAACTGTAAAAGAATGAAGCATGTTAAAATTTACATGAAATACAATATAACACAACCAGCAGCTGAGGTATAAGAAACCACTTACAACATAACCACTCTATCAGACATCCAGATCCCCAAGCCTAGAGATGGAATCACATCTTTAAGCCACTGGGTTGAGCCCAAGCAGATCCTTGAGGGGATGATATTCCAAAGGAGGAGTGCCATGACAGAATAGTGTTTCTTCCTGGAAACCACATCTTTAAAGATGGAACCACTTCTGTAAGCCACTGGATTGGGCCCAAGTAGATCCTTGAGGGGATTATATTCTTAAGGATGAGTGTCATGACAGAATAGTGTATCTTCCTGGAACCACCAAATGACCTGTCCTAACAGAAAGATCTTGGACCTGCCTCTTCTGACAAACCTAATAAGATGGACAGACCAAACTGGGACAAGATAGTCCCTCAAACAACCCAGTCCCATACCATTAGTGCAACCTCTCAAAAAAAAAATACATAGAAAAAAAAGAATAAAGAACAGCCCTCATTCCTAAAAGAAAAAGCAAAGCTCCAGGAGTACATTTGTACTGAATACTTGCAATGTCTGGCAATATATAAAATATATATTTTATTTGTACTCTTCAGTGACACTTTTGATTTTGGCAGGGATTTGCAGATTTTTTTCATTTTTATTAAGTTATAAATCTTAATACATTCTTTTTTTTTTCAATAGTGAAAATTATATGATGTGGTTAAAATGTTTCTGTAGACTTATCAGGTACCCAGCATACATCCTTGAGTTCACTTAGAGAGAAAAGGCAGATCAAATCTTTCCTCATTTCTTGTTGCATTGCCAAAACAATGTGTTAAACTTATGTGAAATGGAACCAGAAAATCTGTCCCAGCTAAGGGTATCAGGCTATCCTTCTCATTTGGAAGGACTGATGATTATTAGTCTGCATTTCCTGGGCAGAACATATGTATAAAATTATATCCAATATGCATTTTTTTTAACAAAAATGCAACATTGCAGTTTTGCTAATAAACTGGCTTTTACTGTCATCATTATTCCTTTATGTTGCCTTAAGTGATTAAAAAATCATCTTGTTTTTGTTGTAAACACCAACCAATTTAGGACATTAATTAAATAAGAAGACTTATACCCCTATGGCAAAGGATACTTAGGATATACAAAAATTGGCTCATCAGATTGCATACTCATTCCAAAATAATTACTATGAAAAATAAGTATAACAAAACAATGGGACCTTTGGCACTTTTAAATAACAGTATTTTACCAAAGTTATTAATTTATTGCCATGTTTCCATGCTGATGTGAAGGGGATCTGATGCAGAAAATGATATTTTCAAAAGCATTATTTGTTAGATTTATAATCTGTCTTTTTCCAGAAACTCATCACACTGAAAATGAATAGCATGTTTCAGTTTGAAACATTTGGCTCATCTAGACCCACTCATTGCCAAGCAGTTTAATAACATACTGCAAGGATGTGAAACTGTAGATTGGTATGGTAGCTGATGCAGGTCAAAAGCTTTTAGTTGAAAACAAGCTCTTTCTATCAGAAAGAAAACTGACCAAACAGCTAAGGAATAAAAATCAGCTCCTAACTGATGATTTTGGAAAACTGCAAGTGAAGGAAGACCAATTTGAAAATATCTTGGATTGATGATAAGATGACATTTGACTCTGACATGTGTTTGGATAATCAAATGCTGAGAAATAACGGTCATAGAAATGTCAAAGCTTTGTGCAAAGATCAATGGTTCAATAGAAGACACAGATGCTGGTCAATGGAGATAGACTGGACAGGTCAATATCAAGAGAGGAATCTTTGAAGGAGACTCTCTCTCTCACCTTTAATATTTGCACTGATTCCTCTATCAACAATACTGAACAAGTCAGGCTATCAAATATCAAAAACATCTGCCAGGGTCTCCCACTTCCTTTACGTAGATGATCTGAAGCTATACGGAAAAACACCGTCTGAAATAGAATTACTGCTCAACACTGTCCATAAATACAGTGATTCAGGGGTGGGCTTCAAAATTTTTAGCAAAGGGTTCTCTGCTCGGTTGCTGGATGTGTGTGGCCATGGTGGGCATGGCCTAGTTAGCCTTCTGCACCAGGGCAGAGGGGGAGTGTTATTGTCCTCCCTGGGCTCTGGAGGATTTCCTTGAGCCTCCAGGAGGGTGAAAACAGCCTCCCCGGGCTCCGGATGCTCTCTGGAAGCCAGAAATGGGCCCATTTCCAGCCTTCCCAAACTTTCAGGAGGCCCGTTTTCACCCTCTCCGAGCCTACATGTGCACCCTGCACTTACCTGCATCCAAAATGGGCTGTGTGGGGACTCCTGGGAGGGGCGGGGTGGGCAGGGCCAATCAGGAGTGGGATTTGGGGGTCTCCAAACTGCACAGAAACTTACTAAGGGTTCTACCAGACCCCTGCGAACCCCCAGCAGCCCACCCCTGCAGTGATTCTATATCTATATTGCAGTGGATAATCTTTATGATACAACAGGGGAAAAGTAGAGAAAACTGAAGGAATTGAAATATCCTACTTCCATACCATAAGGAAATAATATCAAGAGACTGGATGAAGAAGATAATTATAAGCACCTGGGCATTTTTCAAGCTGATAACATCAAGCATACTGAAGTTAAGAAGAAGCTTAGAGGTGAATACATCATGAGACTGAAGATTTGAAATTTGAAACTCAGTGGTGGAAATACCATCAAGACAGTTAACACCTGGACAATTCCAGCCATTAGCTACACAGTTAGAATAGTGAACTGGACTTAAGCAGAACTAAAAGCGCTGGATAGAAAGACCAGAAAAATATTAACAATGAATCATCCATACAGCGACGTTCATCCATACAGTGACATTGACAGACAATATTTTCCAAAGAACATTGGTGGGTGTGGAATGAAGGATTGAATAACAACCCTGATGAGAGCATCCCATGCTAGAAGTAGTTAGTGGTATAGGAAGAATATCCCGCCCATTCTATTTTCTAATTCATTTAATCTCTGTTCATTTCAATAGTTGGTGTTTTATTGATTAATGTTTTGTATACTTGCTGTTATGGTACAGCAGGCCACCCAAAGTCATTTGACAGTGAGATGGGTGGCAGAGAAATGTAATCAATCAATCAATCAATCAATCAATCAATCAAATGAAGAATAGAAAAAAGATACGGCAAGACAAAGTATCAAATGGCCAATACATAAAAAATTAGCAGGCAAATAAGTTAACAAAATGTGGTAATGACTAAGAGCAGGAAAATTGAAAGAAGAGACAGAGGGACTAATTCTGGATGCATAAGATCAAACCTTAAGAACAAATGCATATAAAGTCAGAATTGAGAATATAGCACAGATGGCAAATGCCATCCCTGCAAAGAAGTTGGACAACGTGGTTACTGCTGCAAGAAGATTACTGTTATATGTGGAAATTTACCTTATACACCTGAGAATAGTGAGCAGGACAGACTCCATGTTTGATCTTAATCTGACCTGTTAGAGATCAGAACATTTATATAACTTGTTATGAACTTGTTTATTCTGCTAAAGTTCTGTAGAATTGCAAAATATTATGTCCTTGGCTTGGTTTGAGATGCATAGAAGGTCGCCTTGACATTATAAGAGTTATTAATGATCTCTTGTGTAATCTTTTAAGAAGAAAACAGGAAATCTGATGATAATGGTGAAGAGAAGAAAGTTGGGGGGTTTCCATGGATGCATGGGAGGGGCTATGAAAAACACCCAGAAATTTCTTATGGAATTTTCTGTAATTTCTATGTGTGCAAAACAGGAAGTGTTATGTAATCTTCTAACTGTGATAATCCTATATAAGGTTTACTGAAAAAGGGTGTCTCCTTTCTCTCAAACTGCGGTCTGGGAGATCGGGGGTCGATATTGCAATATCTATTCATAAAGCCTGTTACAGATTCTGATTATCACAGTCTGTTGTTTTATTTTTATCATATTCTAACAATTACACAGACTTCAAACATTGCAAACAAGGCCTTATGGGATCACATATCAGAAAAAGTAATAGATGAAGAAGCTACTGTAACTTGCTCTGGAACTTTAGAATCCAAAAAGATAGGCATCTGCCAATGTTTATTAATGTTGATAAGAAAAACAAAAAAGTTTAGAAAGTGGACATTGCATTTTCTGGAGACAACAGAAGAGAAAGAATTGGTGAAAATAACAAAGTATAAAGACATGCAAACAGAAATAGAATGACTGTGGTGAAGGAATGCAAAGATAGTCCTAATAGCAATAGGCACCTTGGATGTAGTTCCAAAACATATGGAGAACCAATTAACACCACTATCATTGACAAAATCGCCATCAGTCAATTGAGATGAGAAAAGCTTACATCCTGTGATCATACTTTTAATATTATTTAACAACATTATGTGCCTATTTCATGTCCTTGGGAAGGAGC